GGCAGCCGCCTCCGCCGGCCGGTCAGCCCTCCCCGGGGCCAGGCTGCTCAGCAACTCAATTATCCTCCGTAACTTCATTTCTCCCTGCTCTGCGGTTACACAAGGGGGTTTATCGAGCTCAGCCTGACAGCAGAGCGCAGCGCCAGCAGCAAGACTGTGCGGAGATCTGGCTGATCTATTTATTTTGTCCCTCCCCAGCCTGTCTGGAGAATAACGTCTCCTAAAATGCACTGCAAACCAAGCTGCTGAAAAGCAAACAGGTTCACAATGATGAGAGGCTCAGGTGCTGTCCACCAGCCCGTTATTTAAAGCCACTAACCAGACAAGTGCGGGGACCTGTCTAACGAATGCCATGTTGCCATGGAGTCAAACACAGGAGTGAATCCAATTTTGTTGCTGTTGGAAAACGGAGTTAACTGTAAACAGCTGCAAGTTGTGCTTTCCCCTTCCTTCTGCAGATCTTCTCCATCGTGGTGTTTGGCTCCATCGTGAACGAATGCTACGTGAACAAGGACAGCCAGGACCCCGAGCTCCTCTGCATCTTCAACCAGAATGAGAGTGCCTGCAGTTATGGCATCGCCGTTGGCATTATGGCCTTCTTTGGCTGCATCTTCTTCTTTGTTGTGGACCTCTACTTCCAGCAGATCAGCAGCGTGAAGGACCGCAAACGGGCCGTCCTGCTGGACCTTGGGTTTTCAGGTAGGTCTTTGGCTTTGCTCTGTTTGCAAAGGAGGCGGCTGGCTCCACAGGGGCTTTTGCTGTGCCCTGCAGCTCCTCACGTTGTGTCCTCTGCTCCCCATGGCTGGGCACAGCTCAGACACCCGTGGGTGGAAGAACAGGGCGGGCAGATGGGTTATCCTGTCCAACAGCGAGTTGAGAATTAGCAGCAGAAAAGCCAGCGTATGGCAGTGGGAGGACAAGGGGTGTCCCGCTCTTCTCTGTTACTTCTGCAACCAGAGACATTTGTTGAGGTGGGATCTGTGAGGCCACCCAGAGAAGCGCGCCTTGGTGCCCGTGTCTCAGAAACCAGACAGGGTACTTTTCCCTCCCTGATCTCTTGTTCCGTGGCTCAAGCAAACATCGTTTCATCTCTTATATCTGGGTCTGTCTTCACTTTGGGTGTGTGTGTTATTGCACAAAGCAGAAACGTGCTGGCTCAGCGGGAGCTGAGGTGCCAGCACAGCCCCTCGCTGTCTCCACTGTTCCTGCAGACGGGCTGGGGACTCAAGCCTGGCGCAGATCCGTGCCATCGGCAGCCCCTTGGCCTGGGGGGGGTCAGGCTCAGGCGTGTGAACGCAAACAAGCGGGATGCATTGAGCTGGCCTCACCTCGGCGCCTCTGGGCGTTTTCTGGCTTCGTTTGCAGCTGATGTTCCTGATTTCCAGGCTCTTGTGTTTGCAAAGTCTGAAGGTGATTTATCCAGCGCAGCATAGCTGGTGGCTCTCTGGTCCCAGATGAAAACATCCATCATCTCCTCCCTGTTGTTAAGGATGTTCTGTCCTCCCTGGAAAGCTTATTTCTGCGGTGTTTGAACTCCAGCGTCCAGCCTTTTTTAGATATTTACAGCCCCTTCCGTGAGGCTAGGTGCCTGCAACCCTTTAATCCAGAGGGAAATGGAGCATCCCCATCCATCTCCTGGCTGACTCGGGGTGTCTCAGTGTGAGGCTGTGATCCTTCCCTGCCTCTCACCCTGTAATAGCTGTTCTCCCGCCTGCGAGGCATGTGCAAAACCTTACCCTGCTCAATCTCTGCCTCGTTTTTCTTTCGCACCGTCATACTTCACGTGCGCTTCCATGGACTTCAGCAGCACGCCGGGTTTCTGCCCTGCCAAGCAGCTGTCACGCAGCCCGTGCGTGCTGGTATTTGGGGAAAGGCTGTGGCATTGCAGCAGTCTGTTGGCAAATCCACCGTGCCGAATGCAGCCCTGCAGCCACCCGTGGCTTTTAATTACCCCAGGAGCACGTTGCAGCCCAGCGGTCCTTGTGTGTCTTCTGGGTGGGGTGTGTCAACAGTTTATTGTATCTGGGCAGAGACTTCCTGCTCCCTTGGGCCTTCCCCGCTGAAGGGTTCTTGGTAGAAAACTAGCAAGCCACTTCCTCACTGCTAAAACAGATCACCTACGTGCAGGTCATGCGGACGTGAGCTTGTGACCGACACAGTGCCAGGTGTCAGGCCCCGGGTTTGGGCAGATGGCGGTGTGTCTGCCCGTGCGCCCTGCACGTCGCTGCTGCCGGCTGCGGGCTCGGCCGGGGCGGGGGGTTGGGTTCGAGGTGACCCCACGCAGCCAGGTTTGAATCGAAAGCCCTGGAGCCGCTGCAGCGGAGCCAGCGGGCAGACAGCACGCGGGGACACGGGGCCGGAGGGGACCGTCCAGCCCAGACCCTGTCGTTGCACCATAGGATCCAGTTCATGCATTAAGCAAGCTCCGTCCCAAAGCTAGCGCTGTTGCTGCTCTCGTCCCCGGGGGGGACCCTCTCCGCGTGCCTCCCCGCAGCAGGGGGTTACCGCTCCCGTTGGCACGGCCAGTGTCCCTCCAGTCCTTACTGCGGCCCAACGTCACCTCTCTTGGTTATGGGTGGCCAGAGCAGTGCACACTCCGTGGATGTGTCACCAAGGCCTTTACAAAGGCACTAACGCTTCTTAACCAACAACCCACGGTGGAAAAGGAGATTCCCCCCAGGCTCGTGGTCGTGCAGTTCTGCTTGGCCCCGATCGCTCTTCCTCACCTGCTGCTGGCAGCAGATTTCCTGCTTCTCTTCCCTTTTGCTGCTCATTAATGAAAAAAGAAAACTGTCTTGCTGCAAAGAGCAGTCGTCTTTAACTCCCCTCCAGCCTGACGTTTCCTCTTTTAACACTGCCTAACACATCTGCTTGTTAGCAGTTCCTTATCTTTTTCGCTGTTCTTGTACAGTCTCATCTTTCCTAGCTTAACTAATCCCATCCCACATGGCACCATACTAAATGCTGGGCTGAAGTCTAAATAGAGAGACTTGATGCTGCTGTAAATGGGAACATTGTTGGAGACTTCTGTAACAAAGTCCATGGTCACCATGGACTAAACATAGCTAAACCTGCCTACACCTAGTTCTGCATTTTTGCATTTTCTTCTGAGGCCCGAATTCAGTCGAGCGTCGCTGATGTGTGGTTGCTTCTCCCAGGGGAAGGGCGCAGGTCACTGCCAGGGGACAGAGGAATCGGCCAGCCCGGTCCGTCCCCTCCCCAGCCGCCCTGCGGTGTCTCTGCAGCCAACCGCGCTGGTCAAGAGGTCCCTTCCCACCCGGATCACTTGGTGATTCAAGCCACAGCACGAACTCTTAGCTGCACATGAAACTGTGCATGCAAAACTGCCTTCAGCTGCCTGGACAAGCGATGGGGTCGTTTTACTGGGAGAAAAGATGTCAGGGCCGCTTCATGCCCAGTATATTTTGTTCTGTTCCTACTTCTGTGCCTTCACTTTTCTAAAATTATGGCTGTCCCAAACGTTTTTTACACCCATTCTGCCATAGCCTGTACGCCCACTCGCACATAAATGTCAGGCAGTTGGTTGCTTTCGGAACGAGAGTCGATACAAACAGCTCTCGCAGCAGAGATTAAGTGCAGGATTTTATTGGCACGTGAAGCCTCCGCAGGTGCAGAGATCACAGTCCGTCCTAGCCGCTCGTGCTGCTCCGAGCGGCCCCGGGCACCGAACCTGCCAGGCCTGCCAGGAAGCGGAGCTGAGCTCACCTGCGCAGGGTGCAAACTCTACAAGCAATTTGCATTGTTTAACTCCCGCCACATTAATCCCTTGAGACTACATGTGGCAGTCTTTTATGCTGGCCCCTTCCTTTTTTCTTCCCTGCCAGCAATGGTATTCTTGGTTTCCTCCTACTTGCCTGTGGCGGTTTCATCCTTTCTCTCTGTGTGTGATCTCTGCATTGTTGCTTGTTCAGATATAAAAGCTGAAAATGCATCTGGGAAATAACTGGGTGAGGAACATGCTGGGGTAAGAGGAAGTGGTGAAAATCAAGCAGTGTATAGATAGGATGAGAAAAGAAGGTCGTTTCTGGCCCTTTGCTCAGGGCGCCCAGAGGGCCGGTCTCGACAGCGGTGCCGTTCCTCGCCCCGGCTGTGCAAGGAGCACTAACGTGCCTGAATTATCGAGGCTTTTCCTGCATTTTGGCTGCCCCTGCAGAGGGGAGAGAGATCTGACTCCTGCAGGCCTCCTGGAGGCTGCTGGGACGCAATGCCGAGGCACGAGCAGGAACGACACGGCCACGGTGCTGAGCAAAATGGCGTTTGCAATTTTCCATCTGCTCTTTTCAGCTGCTCCCGTAGAAGTGCGCTTGTTTGGAACCAGGCTGTAATTATGGCTGTAGCATATCTTTCCTGGTGTTTGCACTCTGTTGTCTACACATCCTAAAACTATAATTATCTGCTGGTTCTTCCTGGTATTCTCCTTCTCCCCAGTGTGCTGGAGGGTGCAAACCCACTGCAGTGCCTATCTCCACCTGCGTGCAGCCTCCAGTCAAAACCAGCACCGGTAGCCACACCAAGCCAGCATCAGCCCAGCCCCCTTCTTTGAGTTTTAAATTTCATGGGTATCAACAAACACCTCCAAAATGATCCACTCTCATTTGATGCAGTAAATACACCAGTGGGTCGGTATGGGCAGCGCTAACCCGAGTAGGCTGCCTGGCCCGTTTGCGGGACCACGACTGCTAAAGTCACCGGACCTTGCCCGTGCAGTTGCCGGATGGAGTAGAGCTGCAGTTACAAGGGCAGCCTTGTTGCCTGAACAGGCGCAGGGTAGCTGTAATCCTGGGTACATGATTCATATTATTGGGTACAAAGTCTCATCTCCAAAGAATGCTAACAGAAGATGAACATGATCATAAATGAAAACGAGTGCTGGTACAGAAACAAAAATAGTTCTTCGTAGAGCTCCCTGGGAAGTCTGATCTCACACTCCGGCATGTGTCAGTCCTCCAGCCTTCCTCCAGCGCCTGTCTGGTCATTCTGGAAACCTTCTCCATGCCTGATCCTGTCTTGTCCATGCACAGATATGTCTATTCCCTATTTCCCAGTGCAGTGGAGAGAATCTTTTTTCTTTTAAGGGCTCCAGCAGAGCTGTCGTGACATGGGATGGAAACTGTGGCTGATCTCTTCGTCGGGAAACCTCAGTGAAGTGCAAGAGGGCAGTAGCAGAAGTGATACCATCGAGGCGTTTCTGGCTGAAGAAGCTAATGGTTTTGGACCCAGATGATTAGCACTGGGAAGGTCAGCGTCTGGATATCTCAGTATTGCAGAGGAAGCCAGTAACTGCAATACTCAGAGCAGCCAGCACACATTCAGAGATGCAGATGATGTCATTTTAACTCTTGAAAACCCTTCGAAGACATCATCAATAGATGGAGCTTTATGCTGCTGCTTGGTGGATACCCCCCATGACCCTGCTGTGACTCATGCTCTGCATTACTGTAGCACCCAGCAGCGTATGGGAGAGGACCTACTGCACTAGATTGAGTATAAAGCAAAGAAACACTTCTCCCAAACAGGCTTACCCCCTGTGAACCAATGATACAGCCTAGTGCTGCTGGAGAGCCTGTTACTGCCATAACACCCATGTCCCCTTCTTCCAGCCTGCATGGTCCCAGAGCGTGTCCCTGAGCATCGCTCTGCCCCCTGCAGCACTACTCAGCGTGAACCCGTCAGGAGCTGCTCCTGCGTTTCCTCCCTGGTCCCTCGCACTTCCAGCCACTGCTGCCTCCCGGAAGGTGCGTTTCTGAGCGAGGAACGTCTCACCAAGGATTGTGCTTTGAGCTCAGGCGGGCAGCGCTCCTGGCTGACGTGGCATTTGCTCCCCAAACAGCTGGAGGTGGGAACTCGGTGGCAGTGCCCTGTGGGACAGCGTCCCCTGCCCTGAGACCTGCCAGGGCACCGCTAACGCCAGGTTCACCAAACGCCAGTTGTCCTCTCTGCGGCTGATGCCGTATCTTGGGCACGTGTCCTCCTGCTGTCGTGCTCCGGAGGAGATACTGCAAGCGTTGATTTCTGTGTCCGCTTTTAGGGGTAGGTTCTACTTCCCTTAACCCAGGCCAGCCACTGGTAAAGTCCCGCTATAACCCAGATGGAGAACTAGAAGGTGCGTCCGTCCCTGAAGATGACCTTTGAGTACCCAGAGGTCTGGTTTAATGCTGGAGACAAGTGGATCATCCTGAATGGAAGTGGAAATATATGCAGAGATTTGGGGCAGTTTTGTTAGCAGGCATTAGCCATTTCTGCAAAAAAAGAGGCTGTTTTATTACTCTCTGCAATTTGGAAAACACGGAAGATGCTGGCAGGAGGTTGCGTTGCTGTGAGGGCAGCTCACGGGCTCAGGCACGGCCAAGCAGACGAAGGTGCCCCCCACCAGAGAGGAAGCCCCGGGCCCGATCGCCCAGATGAAGGAAGCGAGGAGTGTGTTTTCTGAAACTGCAGTTATGAGCAAGTTCTGCAGGAAAGCAAGGTGTGCGAGGAGCTGGGTAAACCTTGCACCGCGCGTGGCTACCCGCGTGCGTTTTATACAGTACGTAGGGACAACTGGCATGATGAAGGGGTGAAAAGAAAGCCGCTTTCCTTCTCTGCAGTCACATCGTGCTTTGCAGCCAGCTGCCCCGTGGGACTTGCACGGGCTCCAGGCTGGGCAGCTCCTCTCCCCAGCCCCTGGAAAGCGTTACTGCCCGCTAGAGCGTGCGGCTGTGGCTTGCTTTGTGCCTCTGTCCTCCCGAGCTGCGGGGTGCCGGCCGCTGCTGCTGGCTGCTGATTGAATTAGGGGAGCTGCAGCCCTGTCTTGCTCAGCCAGCCTCGGCTACAGTAAAAAATAATCCCCTGAGCTCAATTTTTGAGTTTTTGCTCAATGCCCCAGAGAGGCTGAAAACGGGAGCGCCGTGCATGGGGGCTGGCGGTGAGGAGCTTCTTGCCTGGGTGAGCTTTGGTGCATCCCGACCAAGGTTTCCAAAAGCCCGTGGCGTCCAGGAATAAAGGGCATCGTAGGTGGCTGTGCTAGGGTGCTGGGAACTGATCTGGTAGCGCCTTGATGCCTGTGACCAGTCTGAAATCCTACAGACCGTGAGAACATTGAACCACTGAGATCGTGTCTAGAGAGGGTGCGCCGTCCCTAGAGGCCTTTAAGATCTGCTTTAGATAGAGGTGACCTAAACTTGAGGCAGGCGACAGACTCGATGACACAGGTTCCTTCCAGACCTGTTTTCCAGGGATTGCAAAGGGGCTTAGCCTGCAGGCAGTAGGTGTGCAGCACTTCGAGAAAACCAGCTCCTTTTAAAATAGCTCTTTTTGGGCCCTACTGCAGACCAAGGCACCCAAGGTCCCTGCTTCCTTTTGAAAAGCTTGCTGGCGCTGTGTTCGTGCAGCGGTGGTCCCCGGCGATCCGGGCTCTTTACAGCACGGAGACGGTGGGCAATGGCAGCGCTAACCAGCTCTGTTCTCTTTCAGGTTTCTTGTCCTTCCTGTGGTTTGTAGCTTTCTGCTTTCTCGCAAACCAGTGGCAACGGACAACGATGAGCAAAGGGGTTTCGCAAGGAGCAGATGCCGCCCGGGCAGCGATCGCCTTCTCCTTCTTCTCCATCATCGCCTGGGTGAGTTCAGCTTCTGGACGTTCAGAGGACCCTAGGCTGGCAGCGCGGTTGGGGACCTGCTGGTCCTTATCCCGGGGTGCAGCACAGCCCCGGGGGTTGGGACCGTCCCGGGCACAAGGTGGTCAAGGGCTTGCTGCCACCTGCGGCCGGAGCGCAGCCTTGACGGGGCTCTGCCGCACGTTGCTGCGTGGGGGCGAGGGGCAGCAGGGCACAGTCCTGGCACTGAGCCGCTGCCGGGAGGATGCTTGGGGGTGCGGGTAGGCCCCGAGGGGCGGGGGGGGGGGGGGGGGGGGGAGAGAAAGCAAGAGAATGAGGATGACCAAGAATGGACGTAAATAGTCTGCAATGCCCTTGTGCTGCTTTCCTTGTTACTGGTGTAACAATTTCCGCTGCTCCTCCGCTCTGAAAGTAAAATAAACCTGGTCAGTGATAGGTAATAAAGCACAATATGCACGGATGACAAATACATTTACCAGTAGTCAAACAACATAGACGATGCGTCACTTTCTTTCCCCAGCCTGCATCCGATATAACATAGGTATCGTTACAGACAAGGAGAGGGTACTGGGACACGTC